GGGCGTGAGGCAGAGTTGTCTGACACTTCTGTCACAATCACAGCAACAATAAGAGACGCTCTTATTATTTATCCTTTGTCTATGAATGTGCACGGGGTCAAATATGTTGCGATGTATTGCACTCTGTTTACACAAGACCAAGACCAAAAAAAAAAAAAAAAATCCCAGCCTTCCCACTGAACGGGTCTGTGTTCTCCATTTGGACAGAAAACGTATGAATTGAATGATTTGACGTCTACCTCTTATTGGCTGGAGCCAGGACAGTCCACCTGTCCACCTGTCCACCACAGACACATGTTCAACCACTCATTCATACAGTCGACCTAAACCTGCATGTTTCTGAACTTGGATCAAACCCCAAATACACACTCCCCACCGTAAGAAACGGAGGGAGAACTGAACCAGTTTATGAAGTGGTTCACACTACGCTGGACAGGATGATGATGTCATCTATAACAGACGTCCAAGTAAAGGCATGAGTACATGGCAGGACCCAAACGCAGCTCGTTGCACTTATTTCTATTTCCATTAATCAGGGACGCTGCAGCGGGCTAAGTGTTGGAGACACTCTCCACCAGACACGTTCAGACATAAATACGGTCCTTTTCATGTTTCAACACAGAAACAACATTTACAGCTTTTTACAGACGGACAGATGACTTGGCAGGAAACGTGGGTACTTTCCACTGACGGAACGTGTGACATGGACTCATTCTTTCCGTAAGAGAGAGAAATATTTAGGAGTTGTTGGATTCCCTCTCAGCGACTATGTCAGCTTCAGAGAATGTGCTGTAGAAAAACACACAAAGGCCATAAGAACACAGGACTCTGTGACTGTCGTGGAGCGTCTTTCACTGGAGTTCAAACAGTGAGTGGGCAGGTTCCCATAATCCAACAGGATGGATGTTTGGAGTTTATAGAAAAGAAACAGAACCCCTACAGACTACAGGACCGTCAAAGGAATGGACAGTTCAGGGACCGCATACCTTATATTTACTGTATAAAACTGTCTAAGTATTAGCTCATATACACACATATACAAACACATATATTATTATATATATATTATTAGAGTGTGTAACAGCAACAACAGCAACAACAGCAACGACAGGGACAACAGCAACAACAGGGACAACAGGGACAACAGCAACAACAGCAACAACAGGGACAACAGTGCCAACCTCCTCACAGGCAGAACAACAGGGACAACAGCAACAACAGCGACAACAGCAACAACAGCAACAACAGGGACATCAGGGACAACAGGGACAACAGGGACAACAGCAACAACAGGGACAACAGCAACAACAGGGACAACAGGGACAACAGCAACAACAGCAACAACAGAAACAACAGCAACAACAGCAACAACAGAAACAACAGCAACAACAGCAACAACAGCGACAACAGCAACAACAGCAACAACAGGGACATCAGGGACAACAGGGACAACAGGGACAACAGGGACAACAGGGACAACAGGGACAACAGCAACAACAGCAACAACAGCGACAACAGCAACAACAGGGACAACAGCAACAACAGCGACAACAGCAACAACAGGGACAACAGGGACAACAGCAACAACAGCAACAACAGCAACAACAGAAACAACAGCAACAACAGCAACAACAGGGACAACAGCAACAACAGGGACAACAGCAACAACAGGGACAACAGCAACAACAGGGACAACAGTGCCAACCTCCTCACAGGCAGAACACATTCCTCTCAGATGAGAGCAGTAGCACAGCCTGGAACTATAAAGTTATTGGGCAAACTCACTGAATAGTGATTGTGTTTATTGTGAGTCCATGTGGAATACATGTGTCATAAAACAGTGACAAGGTCTTCTGAGTGACCTCACCAGAGAGGAAGTCTCCAGAGAGGAAGTCTCCAGAGAGGAAGTCTCCAGAGAGGAAGTACATGTGAGCCAGAGAAGTTCAGGACAAACTGAACTGAGCTGCAGAGAACTCCGATGTGGAGAACTGATCAAAGTCACTGTTTCATATCATCAGGTACTGACCTGTTGTTTCACAAATGTTGGTTTTGGGAAATCATCATCAACTTTTGAAGTCGTCCTTTAGAATCAAACTATCCTGGTGTCCTATTATTATTATTATTATTGACTTCAGCAGTCATATATACTGTGTATATATATATATATAGTGTATATACAGCATATACAGCATGAGGAGAACATCTGTGGCTGACGACTGACACAGTCTGTGGGGAAATAGGCCCACATTCTTATTAGTGGTAGAAAATAATTGTCATTTAAGAAGAAGCTTAGTCACTAGGTGAGGAGTTGACACTAATGTGGTGCTAATGATTGGATTCATGGAAATAAGTGTTAGCCACGGGGCTACTGTGTGACTGAGACATGAACAGCTGAATGGATCAGTTTCTGAAGCACTTACTGATGACAGCTGTGCCACTCCCAGGTGTGACGCGGCCGGTTCGGCATGAAGTCCGCTGTTCCCTTGTTCTTCACCCTCTGTGGGAATCTCAGCAGGACCCTCACGTCGTAGTCGGTTGTCTCAGGGGCGTAGGCAGAGCTGTTAAGGAAAACAACAGGAGTAGAAACCACACTGACTGTAGGTCCGACTGTGTCCTACAACAAGAACAAGATTAGAGTGGCTTCACTCTACGAAATAATTCAGCTTTCAGATTACAACCAGCTCCGTGGTTTGAACGCTGAGCGGAAACACTTCCTTTTTGTGGCACAAAGGCACAATACCACAGAAGATCTAATACGTTTGTCTTGTGGCTGTTGTTGACATTGGAGTGTATGTCAAATTACAACAGCCGTCACATCTATCTGCGATTGCAGCAAAACCCAGACAGGATATGAAAGGGATTTGAAGGATGGCTGTGTGGTGATGGGAAGAGGGCAAACACAAGAGCCGTGGGGACAGCACACTTCAATCATTTCAATAGTGTCCTTAGTGCAGAGACAGTCTGAGAGGCCGGGGTCACCAGGCCGGGGATGTTGTCCTCCAATATAGAGAAGTGCAACTCAAGGTGGGTTTTTTTTTTTTTTTTTGATGCAACTCAAGGTGGGGTTTTTTTTTTTTTTGTCAGTGAAATCTTCCTGCTGGTGTTGCCGTGTGTGAATCGTGTACGTGGATCTGTACATTTTACAGTTTAGACCATGATCCTTTTGTTATTCCACATTTACAGAGTGCTGTGATCTGTGTTAGAGCTGTTACAGCTGCACAGTGACCTTGACCATAGATCATTGTCGGCTTCATTCACTCCTTAAATGTTGTTGTATTCAGTATTCTGTGTTACTGAAGTAAACCATAGAACAGATTCACAGAGGACTGAGGAGCATGTACACAAATACACATGTAGGTCAGTGAAGATCCCTCCAGGAAACTAGATCTTACCTTGATAGACACTTCTCCTCTGCAGCACAGCGGAGAGAGTACATGTGGGCTCTCTGAATATATGTTGAAGCCTGGACGTAGTGAGGATCAGGGACCAGATCAGCCAAACCTAGAAGAGACCACACCACTGATCACTGAACATCCACAGGACTATTGTCCAGCTCCTCCACGTTGACACAAAACTCCACTAACTCTATTCAGGACACTAGAATTCCTACAGCACAGGAAGTAGCACAGGGAAATGTGACGTTTCCTGAAATGAGAGTGGGAATAAAAAATAAAAAAAAAACCACAGCAAAAGAAACCTCGCCTCAGCTCCAGTATCTGTGAATTTATACATTGGTTTGTGTTTACAGACGTGATCAACTGAATCAGTCCAAAGGTGGTCATTCTTCCTAACAGAGCTTTAAGGACATCACAGTTTTTTATAGCACCACTGGTTCCATTACTGTTCTACTGAACTGTATTCTTTTACCACAAATCCACAAATGAGAGAAAGACACAAACCAACCAGTGGCTGGGAGTGGGTCTGAGGGTCCCACAAACGAACCTGCCAACCTAGAGCTAGAGAATACTGACCCCACAACACAACTCCAGTCCAGTGACTGAATCAGTAGGAAAACAAGAATGAAAAACAGGCAGAAAAAGGAAAGCAGGCCTGACTTGTGAGGGAGGGGACCATCACAGCGAGGGTCTCTGGCACAGCTCATCATACCTCTCTCTGTTGAGATGTTAAGCAACTGAAAGTCAAACCATCTGATGCCTCAGCACAGAAGCACAAACTCAGTCATTTCAGAAAGATATTTCACTCAATGATATTGAATTTTTTTTTTAATCCACTGTCTGTTTATGGAAACCAAATCTGATGGTGATTTTTCTTCATCCCTGCCCATTTCTAACAATCAGGTTTGTTTCTCTTCTTGGCTGAAAGTTTAAATTAGGACATTGCCTTTTGCAGCTGCTGTGTTGGTTGGATGTGTGGGGCACAGAGAAGCTTCCTGGGGCAGATCATGTCAACATCGTAAGACCAGTGTGAAACCAGGACAGCTTTGGTCTTGGCCCTGTCCATCTTTGAACTGTGAACTTGGGTCATTTGAAGAGTAATTATTGGTGTATTTTTCAACCTGTGGCTCAGACAAACACAGTCAGCCATTAGAACTGGACTTAAACAGTCTGGTCTAATCTGACAAACACACTCATGATTCACAGTGACTGTTCACAGTGATGTCATCACATTCATCCACTACCATCCACCTGCAGGTGGACCCGTTTGTTGCCCAGATTCACTGATAGACCGCGGTACGTCAGGTTGGATGACATCACCTGGTGATGGCGCTGTTCCCTCTCCTCTTCACCTTTTACACCTCTGACGTCTGGTACAATACATGTAGATATAAATATGTGCTTTGTTGCAGCACAAAAATGCAAGGTTCTGACCCCCCCGCCCCGAGCCCCCCCTTCATCCTCCCCCCAGTAACTGTGCCTAAATATTTGTTTGATTTCCTGTAGCTGAAGCAATGGACCCCATGTGTTAGTGGGACTTTCCATGTTCTCCCTCCCCCCTCTGGGAGTGGTGAGGTAGTGGAGCCCCCTCCCTTGTTTTTTTTTTCTCCTGTTCTTAAGACACACAGGCAGCCACTGACTGCCACCACCTACTTCCAGCTCCACTATGAGGTCACCACCACTCTTACAAACTCTCACAGAAAACCAGGCTTCGGCTTTTGCAGCACGACCTCTTCAGAAAACACAGCGCTCTCTCTGTGTGTTCTCTGGACGTTGGCAGAGGTTCACGCCACACCTGGTTTCAATAACCATGCAGGAGGGAAAGTTAAACCTTGTGTCCACTTTTGGTTGTTTGTAAACTCGTGAGGCAGATTTTTGAGCATTGTACCTTCCAAGAATGGAGATTACTGATTACTGATTACTTCAGGAAAATCTGAAAAATATTAAACACAGTTGAACTGTCAGTACCAGGGATCACACTGCAGGCTTTGGGTTTCTCTCTTTCAGACAGACATACCTTGGTTGAATGCCTACAAGTGAATCCAATCCATATTTCCAGTAAAAATGTGAGACATTTCCAGAGCTTTAGAACACACGTCTAACTCTGCTCTCCTGCAAAATCTCCTTTTTGGTTTGATGAAACCTTTGGCCACATTTTGTTCATTAGAAACGTGTTTAAACAGACTACTGTACCTCTCTGGTCTCGCTGATACACACTTCCTACAGCCACTCCAGAGTTCTCCAAAGCCGCGTTTGGAGAACCTCTGCCTGGAACCACGGGCTGCAGGAAAGGAGGTCTTGGTCTTCCAAATGGAGGGAACTGTTCATACTGAGGGCTCCTCACTGATGTTTGTCCTGGTGTTCCTGTCCTATCTACCACAACCGCTGATGCCTGGTTGGGGTTAGCGACGGGGAGGGCAGGACCAGAGTCTCCATTAAAGAGACTGTGAGTGTACCTGTGGTCTAGACCGTCTGTGAACGGCGGTTGTGCGGCTCGTGCGGGCACCGCTGGATTAGGCCCATAGCTGTAGGTCTGGAAGTAACGGTAGCTTTCATCAGTAAAGTCGGAGGGGGAGCCTGGAAGAACTGGGGGCAAACCAGCTCCATAGCCTCCTCCAGTGTAGGGCTGTCCAGGGCCGAACCCTCCACCACCGTATACCCCACCTCCAACAGGCTGAAAGGGGGGCTCAAAGCTCATTACTGGTCCTTCTACATAACCAGTGTCATATTGTGCCGGTTGATAGGGAGGTTGTTGGGGTAAAGAATACTGTGGGTAAGAAGGCACGTTGAAAGATGATGGAAAAGATGAAGAAGACGACGACGACGATGATGATGATGAGGAGGAGCCTGTGGACGTCCTAAATCGAGATGAAGACGATCCCTGAAACTGGCTGCCACCTGTTCTGCCTGCAGTTTGCCTCCAGTTGTCAGGCACTTGTCCAAAACCAAAGGGGTGCCTGGCCTGCCCACGGACAGTCTCGGAGGATCCTCTCGATGGAGCCTGACGGCGTACGTTACCCCCCTGAGGTCTGCCTGGAGTGCGTGGAAGATTATCCGCCACAACCACCCTGGGAGCCCTCTCCTGGGCACCTGCCCGGGCAGGAACATATTCAGCTCCACTGTTAAGCAAGCTAAACACACGGCCATTATTCTCCCACTGAATTACCTGTCCCCATGGGTTGGCAGAGCCGTCCTGACTCTGGCTCTGTCCCTGAGTCTGTGAAGCTACTTGAGAGTGCGAGATGAAGATGATCCCTGAAACTGGCTGCCACCTGTTCTGCCTGCAGTTTGCCTCCAGTTGTCAGGCACTTGTCCAAAACCAAAGGGGTGCCTGGCCTGCCCACGGACAGTCTCGGAGGATCCTCTCGATGGAGCCTGACGGCGTACGTTACCCCCCTGAGGTCTGCCTGGAGTGCGTGGAAGATTATCCGCCACAACCACCCTGGGAGCCCTCTCCTGGGCACCTGCCCGGGCAGGAACATATTCAGCTCCACTGTTAAGCAAGCTAAACACACGGCCATTATTCTCCCACTGAATTACCTGTCCCCATGGGTTGGCAGAGCCGTCCTGACTCTGGCTCTGTCCCTGAGTCTGTGAAGCTACTTGAGAGTGCCCTGAGCCCAGCAGGACAAATACCAGCCATGCCACAGCAACAGGCAACATTCTGGTGTGTAGAGAGCACGCAGCTCACCAGGTAGAAAAACAAAACAGTCCTCTCCAGGCAAAAACTCAAAGCACCTGTAGCGTTGTCAAAAAAGCATGTGTATCCTCTTCCCGGAGACTGGATGTATGTGTAGAGACAGATTCTGAGTTGAGAAATAAGCTCGTAGCTGAGTGCATCTGTGGGGTTTTCTATCTGCAGCAGATGAGAGAAAAAGTGCAGTCAGGAGCAATCAGAGCTAGAAGATTGAAGGTGGCCTTTTAAAGACCTGCTGGTGGTGTTATCGTCTGTTACTGCTATGAGAAAATGTCCCAGCTCCCTGTCGGTCTGTTAGCTCACCTGTCAGTAGACTGAACATCGCTCTCTGCCTTCTGAAAAGAAGTGACTGTACACGGTAAGACTGCAAGCTTCTATTTGCCTGATTGCTTACAATGGGCTGTGAAAAAATCTCAAACTTTTTTCTCCTGTTTTTTAAGGAGGTCCCACATGGCCCTAGTGCTAGTGATGTTTCCTGGCCTCGAGCAGCCAGAGTTCCAGAGTCAACATTACCATCTGTAAAGGTATTCAGCCTGTAGAAAACATTCAAATGAGCTGATTTCTTTTCTCATCTTGTTCAAGTTTAGCAGGAACATAATCTTTTCACATGTTTTAAAGGCTCGTCATTACGCTGCTCTGCCTTTTAACCTTAAAGAATCTCAGTAACCATGTGCAGATGGGAAGCGGCCTAATTGGTAACAGGGGCATCCTCTCACACAGCCCTGGTTACAGCTCAAACAATCCACAACTGTATCATACAAAACAAAGCACTGTTGAACGATGATAAGTCACACAGTCGCCAACAAAACAGAACAGAACAACACGACCTCAAATCACTGCCACCGGCCCACAAACACGGTGGCTCTGTTTATGGGGCAGAGATGTGGGTAAATGATCCTAAAAATTCCACACTGGGGTCAAATACGGGTAAGTGCTTAAAGCCCTCCACCCTCAAAACACACAAACACACACACGTCTCTCACTGCTTGTACTTGGAATACACAAAGGACGCGTATACATGGCAGGCTCCAGAGCCAGACCACTCTGTGTGCGTGGACACGCTGAGACCCTCGTTTACACAAATGTTGTTGAGACACAAGTCGTTAGAAATGACAATTCACATGGGAGGAGAAACAGCACGGCTTTTGTTTTCTGTGATTGAGCTCATACCAACAGAATGAGGTCCCACCCTGCTATCACTGCTGACCATCTCCAACGGACTGCACACGACGTGAACCAGACGTCGCCAACTGACCATCACTACTGACCAACAACCTACACTCTGCTCAAGAATACTATATATGAGTATGAACTATATATATGTCACATTCATGACTGAATAAAGTGATGGGTTTGAAAAGACACTACTGCCACCCACTGTGCTGGAGTGCAAGCATCAGTGTGTGATTAAATGTGTCACTTTTTTGTGTAATTACTCCATAAAAAGTCACAGCCACAAAGAAGTTACGAAATCCCTGCAAACAGTTCATTTAAAATGTCTCCAGTTTGACTCTGTCCACTTAGAGGACATTATTAGGAGGTCGTCCACAAGAGAAGGAAAAACAAGTCCGTCCATAACTGAGTCATTTTGTTGTCAGTTTTCACACCTTAGTTTGTTTGGGATTTGTCTTCCTGCCCTTTGACCTTTGAAGTGTTTTCATTTCTGTAATGTACGTCTTAATGAACGTGAATTACCAGTGGATTTTCTTCATTGGTTCCAGTGACTTTTTGAACGCCTGTTATTGATGTTTTACACAAAGACTGTGCTTTGAGCCGATCTGTTGTTTTTCTTTGATTGCTGTTCTGCTAAAAGCAATGTGTAGTATTTGAAGTACACAATGAAAGTATGCATTGATCCCTGTGACTACGCAGCACAAAGGGAAAGCCCAGGGAGTGTGGGAGTCAGCCCAGACACCCTTTGTTTGTATGGCTTTTAGATTTTTCGTACAAATCTACATTCATGCCAGATCTTTTAACCTAGAGAGTGATTTGTGATATTCATCACTTTGATTGTTGTATCCCGGCGTGACCATCTGGTTAATTGTAATTATATGAGATACCGTTGATAAACCTTTACCTTCACAGAATAACACGGTACTGAAAACTTTTTTTTAAATACTGTGTCCTTGCAAAGCTTCAGAGCTGACAACAGGAAATAACAAAAAAAAAATCCTATTCGATTTTGTATGAATGGTTCTATCTCTAGGAGAGTACGACAGATGTACCTTAGGTGATAAAATATATCTCAGCAAAAAGGAACAAAAAGAAACCATACGATGGCATTAGCAGCGTTAACAAAAGCACAAAAAAACACCCACATGAATAACATCGTTTTTACCCAGTGAACATTTGAGATTGTACTGGTTCTATATACAGTATATACATATATATACAGTATATATACAGTATATACAGTATATACATATATAAATATACAGTATATACATATATATACAGTATATACATATATGAATATACAGTATATACATATATGAATATACAGTATATACATATATGAATATACAGTATATACATATATGAATATACAGTATATACATATATATATGTATGACAAGAGCTAAGCAGTGCCTTATTCCACGTTGTCTCCATGACTTTAACTCCTCATGGCAGAGGCAGGGAACAATAGGTGACGTGATTACAAATACGCATGTTTGTAGTACTGTAGTACTGTAGTACTGTAGTACTGTAGTACTGTAGTACTGTAGTACATTTGCCTGCTTTTCTTTCATTCATAACTTTTCAGTTTTCGCCGGTGAGTCTTTGAGTGACTGTGTTTGACTGTTTGAAATCACCATTTATCAAAAAAAGAAACCAAATTAAGATGTTTAAATGGACTAACTGTTAATCCCAAACTGCTTTTGAAAATACAAAAAAAAAACTTGTATTTTTGTGCCTTGATTTTAAAAGGTTTGATATTACAAGATGTAAAAATCCCATAATCCTACAGGCAGGAACATTTGACAACACCTCTTGTTTTATGGTGCACATTATTGCCAAACACATCATTCTGCATTAGCCAGGACGAAGCCTGATATTTCATGCAGTATTCACTTGTCAATAAATTTGTACTTCAGCAACCAAACATCTGAAGACGTAAGTGTTTAAGACCGTCTAAACGGTTCCCAGAGCCATTCTTTTGGACCTGTGTCCAAAATGAAGCTTGTTTTCTCCAGATAATCGATCGGATTACTAAAGTGGAGACGGAGGAGAAGGAAAGAACAATAAATGGAATCGTCAAAGCACATTTGTCCTGTTGTGTAAGACAGAATGAAAATGTAAATCCCCAGAGACTTTGGTTCAGCATCACATCAGTGTCATGTGATTAATGAAGGTAAAAAGATTGTGATTGAGTGATTCAAGTGCTGCAGGAACAGTGATATATATATATTTAACTGTATATGTGCATATACACACACGTCCATGGCTCTGGTTAACTGAACCATTTCCTTTTCTTTTCTAATATTGCGGATCTTAAACTGTCACTCTTGTTGTTGATTCCAAACACCTTCGTGATGTTCTGTGAACTACGCTCGCTCCTTCATCCAACGGAGAAAATGCTCTGATGAATGAACATAATCGAATTTAGATGAACACAGAACTCAGCGGGTCAAAGAGCACTCCATGTTAACTGGAGTGTGAACTGGTGACCTCTGACCCCTCTCCAGGTGCATGGTCATTTGAGCCTTCATTTCCTACCATACAGCACTGAAGGACACAGAGGCAGCACACAGTCTAAATCAGATATTATAATGCAAACAGACTAATGACTGAGCTGAGTCTTAGATGTGCCTCCATATATGCCTTGGAATATCAACGAGATCTCTCTGGGATGTGGAAATGGGAGGCAGTGACTGGCATAGCAAGTGAGCGCAGCTTTTTTGTGGGCACCTCAAGCACATACTGTGACTGATGATGAGTGCCAGGAGACACCGAGGAAAAACTACAGAATCTCAGAATCTGCAGGGAGGGAGGAGCAGCAGCAAGTGATGCAAGAGAATTCCATTGTCATGTGTTCCCAGAGCAGTGGAAGTCTGTACATTTGCTGGAGCAGCTGATTCAATTAGCTCCAAAAATCCACAGCTGGTCCCCAGACAGATGTGCTGTGCACTGTTGTCCACACACCCAGAGAACCAATTACCTGTCCTCTGTTCTCAACACCGTTTTTATGCTGCAATCTCTAGGCAACTGCTCCATGTCCTGGTGCTGTGATGCTGAGCACCGGACAGACAACAGGGCCGTCCACTGAGCAACACAACACGCCCACTCTGAAACAAATGGGACGCAGTGGAGGAGATGGATATATCAGAAAGGTGAGTGTATGGAAAAGTGCAGCTCTGATGAGAAACACTTGGAACAGTTGGTTAGAGGGAGAGGAACGTCAGCTGAGGCAGAAAAAAAAAAAAGAATCTGTCGACCTCTAATCTAAACAAATCCTTTTCCTGAAAGAAATCTTTTGATATGTGGAAAAGATAAGCCTCTAAATGTTTAGACTGTGAATTATTCTCATCACATGTTCTGTAAATTCATAAAGTCTTATCCTCAACCAATCACAAGTTAAAGTATTTTCTCTACACGGAGATAAGAAGGACATTACCCACATCTTGTTCTAGTCACACAGTCTCACCCCCTACATCTCTCACTCTCACACCCTCCTCTGCCC